TGGTAAAAACAACAAATTGCCGCAATGCGGATTTTTATCCGCGATTATGATATTTATATTTTTGACGAGATTTTAAGTAATGTCCAAAAAGACTTAAAAATTAAAATTTTAGCCAACATTTTTGCTCGTTTAGAGAATAAAACTACCATCGTTATTGACCATCATTATGACATTTTTCAATATGTTAATGATATTTACCAATTTACCGGAGAAAAATTAATTAAATTGAAAAAAGAGGAATTACTAGAAAAAAAATAAAAATATGAAGAAAAATAGACAATTATTTTACTTGCTAACTAATTCTTTTTTACATATTACTTGCTGTATTCTATCTTTTTATTTTAATAACGGCGAGAAATTCGCCCTGGCTCCGCTCAGTGCTCTGTTAGAATTTATTATTATTCATTGGTGTGCTTGAAATTCAGTATTAACCGTAATTTATAATTGGCACGAAATCAAATTGCTGTCGCAAAATACTCCTCCTGACCAAGCCGAGAAGCAAAAAAAGTGGGGTTTAGTAGTGGCCGTAAGTAATTTAACTTCCTTGCTAGGCTTTATTTCCGTCCTGCCTATTTTACTTAAAAAGAGCCAGTTAACTTCCACTCCCCTGTGAATTAATTCGGCTATTTGACACTTTTTAGTCCTACCCATGAGTTTAGGCTATTTTTTTCTTTTTGTTAAACCTAAAAAACCTAATTTAAAGAAAAAGGAGCTTTTTTATCTCATGTTTCCACTGCCGGTGATTTTCTTTTTGGCTAATTTAATAAGGAGATTTTTTTTAATCAACCCCCAGCCAGGAATAAAATTTAGGAGATTTGCGGTTTGGTGGTTTAAACATGTGGAAAATAAAAAATATGCTTGATTATCATTTTGAATTGGATTTAGCATTTTTTATTTTTGGCTAGTGGCTTATTTATTATTAAAAATTAAATTAAAATTTTTCTTTCGTCCTCCCCGCAAGAAAATTATCTCCCGGTTTTTGGGATAAAAATGTAAAAAAATAGTATGAAAAAGAATGAAGATAATTTGTATATGGTAGTGGAAATTCCTAAGCATTCCGTTAATAAAATTGAATATAATAAAATTAAAAAAAGATACGAATTAGATAGAGTTTTATCGGTGCCTATGCCTTATCCGGAAGAATATGGAATTATTGAAGAGACCTTGGCCCCCGATGGGGATGAATTGGATGTTATTTGCTTAACTCTTCAACCCACTTTTTTTGGACTGCATGTTCCCATTCGAATTATTGGGGTTTTAAAAATGATTGATGGGGCAGAAGAAGATGATAAATTAATCGCGGTGAATGCGGTTGAACCACGCTTAAATAATATTCAAAACTTAACGGATATTACCCCCGAAAAATTAGATGAAATTGCCTATTTTTTTTTACATTATAAAGATTTAGAGAAAAAAAAAGTTACCTTAGGCGGTTTTCAAAACCAAGAAAAAGCGAAAAAAATTTTAGCCCAATGTCAAAAATTATACGAAAAACACCAAGGACTAATTAAGCAAGGAATTGCTAAAAAAGAATTAGTAAAAATCTTAAAAAAGAAAAAATAACTAACTAAACCTGAACAAAATTAACCAGCAAAATAAGCAAATTTTAGTTTAGCAATTTTTTTATATGCTTTGCATATACACTAAAAATAAAGCAGAGAGAGAGAGAGAGAGAGAGAGCAATTTAAGCAAAAACTTATTATATATGAGTTTAAATCAAAAAATTAATAAGTTCAAAATAACCTTATTTGGTAATCTTTGAATTGCTAGAATAATTAAATTATTACGTTATGTGGGCGGCGGATTACTAGCCTGATTAATTTGGAAATCCGAATTCTTGTTTGGCAAAGAAACTCCGCGACAAATATTTACCAGTTATATTCGGGATTGAAGTAGCAAAAACGTGGATACTTTATTAAGTGTAGCTTTAACCATGGGTTTTTTCTTACTTTTATTGTTTATTTACTTTTATCTTTCCGGAAAATTAGTGCAATGGTTAGTGCGGATAGAAATTCCGGCTAACCAACAAGAGCCAATATTTCAAAATAAAATCTATTTGGCTGACGAAAAAACGCATTACGCCGTAGAAAAAATTACTAATTTAGAAATAAGTAGTTATCCAAATTCTGCTTCGGCTACGGTGCAAGGAACATTATCGCTTTTGCTAAAAAAACCCACCAAAAGCTACAAACAGATTGCTTTTATTCTCCACGCTCCTAAACAGTCTCTTGATTATTTAACTGCCCGTAAGTTTTTAGACTCCTGGCCCAAGACTGATATTCACTTTTGCGAAAAAAAATTCTTTACTTGACAAAAATTTTTATTTGCTGTCCTTTTATTCAGTGGAGGAGGATTTTTTTTAAATAGATATTGAAAAGGTAAACAATTTCCGGACACGGCCATTGGCGATGTGTTATCCGGGGAAAATGAAAAACGGAAGCAACAAGCCCGTGAGGAAGAGGAACAAAGAAAATCCGCCGAAGAAAGAAAAAAATACATTGTGGAATCTGCCGATATTGAAACTACTTGGAGCCAAATTGGGGGTTTGAAAGAAGCCAAAGAGAAAATAAAACTAAATGTAGAATTAATTAAAGAAAAACAAAAAAATAAAAATTTTCCTATCGAACCGGAGCATGTGCTACTTTATGGTCCGCCCGGCACCGGGAAAACTTTGCTGGCCCAAGCCGCCGCCAAAGCTTCGGGTTCTTTTTTTGCTTACGCTAGTGGCGGACAATTTGCCGGTAAAGACCGCCAAGCCCGGGAAGAAAGAATAAATTTATTCCTTAATGGAATAGTTAAGGAAAGCCAGGGTAAGCCTTGTATTTTATTTATTGATGAATTTGAAAAAATGAGTGACGAAGGAAAAAAAGACAAATGTACAGAATGAAATACTATTATGGATGGTATTGACAGTAAAAAATACCCGGGGATTTCTATTATAGCGGCCACTAATAAAGCCGAGCAAATTGATTTAGCCCTTTTTCGTTCGGAAAGATTTGGCAAAAAATTATTAATTACTTTTCCGGAAAAAAAAGAACTTAAAGATATCATTAGGGTTACTCTCGGCATGTTTTACGACAAAACTCAACCGTATGAACCTAGATTTTTTACCAAAAATAGAGACTTATTTGTAAAAGAATTCACCGAAGCCATTTTTAAAGAAATTAGCGAAAATAAAGAATACGAAATAGACCCTAATGAATTAATAGGAGGATACGAATATGACCAGCAAACGGGAAAAAGGAAAAAAGTAAAAGCATTTGACGAAGAAGAAGTTCCTCCGCGTCCTTTGTTTGTGGGGGCTGATATCAAAAAAATAATTTTTAAAGAGGCCCCGGCGATTGCTTTTTCCCGAGGGAAAAAAGCCATTAATATGGAAGACTTTAAAAAGGCCATAAAACACACTTACGAATATAACCGTTGCCAAGGTCTGCAACAAGAAGAAATGCGTAAATTCCTTACCGAAATGTTAAGAATAAAAGGAAAAGATAAACAAAAAAGCCTATATTACTGATAAAAAAACTACTCGGTGGGTTTTCTTTCTCAAGGGCTAGAAGTAAAGAATTTTTAAAAATTGTGTTATAGCCAATAATGACCGCCAAACCAAGTAAAATCTTCACCAAAGTTCGGGGCACCCAAGATATTTTGCCTCATCAAGCAATCCTTTATCAGCGAATTCAACAAATTACCCAAAATATTCTCAATAAGGCTGGTTATCAACCAATTATTTTACCTACTTATGAATACCAAGCCTTATTTACTACTTCGGTGGGCGAAAGCACCGATATCGTCCAAAAAGAAATGTTTACTTTCCGAGACCGTAAAGGACGACAATTAGTTTTACGCCCCGAAGGAACGGCGAGCGTGGTGCGTTTAGTTTGTCAAAATAAATTAGTTAATCCGAGTTATCCCTTGCGGCTTTACTACTGAGGAAATATGTTTCGTTATGAACGGCCGCAAAAAGGTCGCTACCGCGAATTTTGGCAGTTAGGAATAGAGTTGATTAATGCTACGGGAATAATGGCCGAAGGGGAATTATTGGGACTAATTAAGCAAATTATACAGGCTTTTGGTTTAGAAAAAAATACTGTTTTGCGTTGAAATTATTTTGGGCAACCCGCCCGGAGAGAAAAATATAAAACCATGCTTAAATCTTATCTATTAAATAAGGCTCAGCAGCTTTGTTTAGATTGCCAAAAGCGTTATCAACTTAATCCGCTGCGGATTTTGGATTGTAAAATTTGCCACTTAGACAACCCTCCTTCCTACCAAAAATTATTAACGGAAAATGATTTAATTTATTTGACCGAACTGAGCAAAATTTTAAATAATTTAGCAATTAATCATAAATATGATGAATACTTAGTGCGGGGGTTAGATTATTACACAGGAATAGTTTTTGAACTTTCTTTAATTGCCGACCAGCAAGTTATTTTAGGCGGGGGGCGCTACGATAATCTTTTTCAACAATTAGGAGGGGTTGACTTGCCCGCTACTGGATTGGCCTTGGGAGTTGACCGCTTAGTTAATCACCTATCGCAGGCCGAAAAGTGAAAAGTTGATTTTAAACCCGATATCCTTTTTTTAATTTTAGAACCTGCGGCTTATTTAGTGGCGACTCCTTGACAAGCCGAATTAAGTAAAAATTATAAAATTGTCGCTAATTTAGAAATCAAAAAAACCAAAAATGCTTTTAAAAGTATTAATTATTATCTGCCCCGTTTGGTTATTATTGTAGGTCAAAAAGAATTAAAAGAAAAAAAAGTATTAATAAAAGATTGTCAAAGCCAAAAAGAATTTATCATGGACCAAGCCCATTTAATTAATTGAGTTTACAATTATTTACCTATCAAAAACTAAAATTTATTTATATACTTTTTAAATTATAGAAATTATTAAAGCCTGGTTAGCTCAACGGTTAGAGCACTCGGCTGTTAACCGAAAGGTTGGAAGTTCGAATCTTCCACCAGGCGCCATTTAAACAAAGGAGAAATAAAATGACTGACATCAAACTAAAAATCAAAGACATTTTAAGGTTTAACGGGAATATATACACCGTGCAAGCCGAGGAACCTATTAATTTAGAAGAAAGAGGGGCCGTAAATAGTGTTAATTTTACTTATGACAATAATTTAACCATTGGCGAAACTATTACTATTCACGGAATTGATTTAAATGATCCGGAAAATAGCCGGATAACCACAAATAATGGAATTAGCAATTGGGATATTGGGCGGTTTACGAGAATTACGGTGAACGGCGAAGTTACTAATAACCAAGAACAAACCCAAGTCTTAGCATGAATAAATAATAATTTTTCTTTAACCATTGATTCAAAGCGGTGTTTTGTAGCTAGTGAGGAAAATATTCCCTTAGACCAAAGCACACTCTATCTCAGTAACGAAAGTTTTGAAAATGTTGTTTTTCCCGCTATCCGAGAATATATAAGAAACCACCCGGGAGAATTTAGATTAGGAGAAGGTAAACACGAAAATTTTCTGCCCGGAACCGCCCGACCATGGTGGTCTCCGGAAATTCCGGGAGACGGAACTGACGCCTCTCCGTGGCAAGATTGCCAACCAGCCGGAGAAATTTATCCGGGTAGACCGCGGTGAGTGGGGACTACGCGAATAATTGAACACCAAAGTCAAAATTTTATTCATCCCGGGGCTTTAACTAGGGTCCAATACGAAGAATTAAAAAAGCTTATTTCTAATACTTGTCAATTTTCCGGTTGTAATAATAATTATCCGGACCCTTGAAACGCCAGCACTTACACTATTGAAAATGACCTTTGTGGTTATCATCGATGGATAAATAGAGGAAACCAAGATATTTTGGTAATTGACCGCGAAGAAGTGGCTAGGTATAACCAAGAACTTGTGGAGCCCTATAATCGCTTTAATAGGGCCAAAATCCGCCGAATTAATTCCCTTTTTATTGAATACTGTAATAAAATAAAGGGTCAGTGAGAAAATTTGTCGGCTAGCCAACGCCGGTTTTTGTCTCGGCTAGAAGCCCAAGCCCACGCGGAACCAATTAACATTTTTACCGAACTACAAGAATTAGTTTTACTGGATGCTAATGCTGCCGTAGAAACCATAATTCAGCAAGCCGAGCGGAATATTAAGCAGGTAAAGTTAAACCAAATCCTTTATAAAAAAAAATGTCAATTGCTTTACTGAATAGCCCTCCATGAAGAAGCACCTGATTTGGAAGCAGAACCCGAAGTGGAGGAAGCTCAAAAATCTCCGCCTTTAACCCCCCCCTTAAGCGGAAACTGAATAGAAGACGAATTAGCAGCGGAAAAGGATAACGATGAGAGGGAGAAAGTTAGCTCCGAGGAGGGGAAAAAAATGTCCGACAAGCCTGAACAACCTGTCCCCGCCGAAGTTTTTAGCCACCAAAAGAATCAATTATTAGCCCAAGAAAAAGAATTAGCCTACCAAAAAATTGCCCAGTTACTGAAAAAATATAACCTAGAAACCGAAAATTTGGCCCCAGAATGGCAAAATTGACGCGAACAAATTCAAGGACTAAATTCGTCCCTAGCCCTAGCCCAGTATATTCAACAACTAGAAAAAATAATTAGCCAAAGTTCGCTAACCCTTAACCAAATTATTCCTTCTCCCCAGCGGAAAAATAAGTCCTTTCTTTTTTCTGGTCTAGCCCTAATATTAACTAGTTTAGGAGGCTTAATTGTTTGGTTTGTTTTTACTTGCCGGGGAAAAAATTCTGTTAAAAATTAATAATAATGAAAAAAAAGCCAATTTGAAAAACCGCCCGAGCCCTCGGAATTTCCTTACGGGGAGACAAAAAAGAATTTAGCCGGGGTAAAATGCGAACTACTCCTCCGGGACAACATGGTCCCAAGAAATTAAAAAAGAAAAAAATTTCTCCTTATGGTATCCAAAATCGCGAAAAACAAAAGATACGCTTTTCTTACGGTCTGAAAGAAAAACAATTAAAAAATCTCTTTCTTAAATTACAAGGAAAAAAAGGCAACACCGCTCAACTTATATTAACTTATTTAGTATCCCGGTTAGATAATTTAATCTTTCGCTCGGGTTTAGTTAGCACTCGCCCGTGAGCTCGTAAATGGGTCACCCAGTATCATTTCCTTGTCAACCAAGCAAAAATAAATAAGCCTGGTTATTTGGTAGAACCCCAAGATATTATTACCTTAACCAAAGCAATGCACGATAATAAATTAATTAAACAACAATTGGAACAAAAGGTTAAGACGGCGGATTTTTTGAAACTAGATAAAGAAAAACTAGAAATTACTTATCTTCGTCATCCTTCCATGGAAGAATTAGAAAAAGAGATTGAAGGAATTGATTTTGCTTCGGTAGTGGAATGATATAATAAAAGAATATAGCTAGTTCTTAAAAATATATATAAATAAAATTATGAAAAAAAATAATAAATTAAATATTATTATTGAAGGATTTGAAGTCCCGTTAGTGGAAATTGCCACCGCTTGAATTCTCCGCAAACTTTTGGATGCCAAACTAAAATTTACCGGAAAAGTTTATTTACCGACCGAGTGAGAAGTAGTCACGGTTTTAAAGTCTCCGCACAAACATAAAAGAGCCCAAGAACATTTAGGGAGAATAACCCATCGGCGTTTAATCCAAGTGGTAAACGCTTCCTTTGTGGATTTGAATAAAGCTGGTTTAACGGGCTCTTATCCACAAATTTCGCGGGGAGTTCAAGTTAGGATAAAGGTTTAATAGCACGAAAAGAACGAAAATCCCGAGTGCGGAGGCGGTAAATTTTATTACCAATTTTAAATTTTTGAATATTGCCTTGGAATTTTCTTTTGCTCGCTTTTCTTTTGCTCACTTGTATTGAAATTGAACGGTTATTGCCGAACAGCGGGGTATTCTTTCCATTTAATATTTTTTTTAACTTTGCTTCCAACTTCTTCATATCTTTATTTTTTACTACTTATGAACCAAAAAAATCAATCAAACAATAATCAAAAAAATTCTAAAAAAGCCAAAAAACCTTCGCTTATTCTAGCAATTAGCGGAATCTTGGGAATATTTTGCTTACTAGCAATTATTTTTTTTTTGCCCAGAACCAATTACCAAAACAAGCAATCTCCAAGCCAAAAAAAAGTTAATAAAAATCAAATCATATCTACTAACGAAAAACAAGATATTTACCCTTATAACGAAAAGAGTTTGGTAACTTCTAAGCATAATTACGAACGAGCCGACAATTACAATCCGTCAGCGGAATTAAAATTTGAAGGTTTTCAACCAGTAGTTTCTAAGGAAATAAAAGAAAAAATGAAAGTTTATTGAATAGAAAATGGGAAAAAATTAAGCGAATTATTTTTAGGAGGTAAATTAAGTTAAATGGAGATAGGTATGGATAAGTTTATGGTTATTCTGCTTGCTCTTTTAACTTTAACCTTGTTTTTAGTCTTTTGGTTTTGGCAAAAAAAACTGGCTGGACAGCAAGCAAAATTAAAACAGACCCAAATTAAACAGCAAAAAAAAGAAATTAATTTTACCACCCACGAAGAAAAAAATCGCTTAACGCAAATTACTCTAGCCAACCAAACAAAAAATCTTCAACAGGAAGAAAAAAGAGTAAATGATTTAAGTGAAAAATTACTCCAAAAAGAAAAAATTATTACCGAACAATTAGAAAAATACGGCCAAAAAGAACAACGATTAGAAGCCAAAGAGAGAGAATTACAAAAAAAAGAACAAGAAAATAATCAGCAATTTAGCCAAATTAGCCAATTACAGCAAGCCACCGAACAAAAACTTTGAGAAATTTCGCAAATGGAGGAAAAAGAAGCCCAAGAAACTCTTTTTTTGCGTTTAAAAGAAAAAATCAAAGACAACTTGGATAAACAAGCCCAAAAAGAAATCAAACGTAGCCAAGCCAAAATTGAAGAAGAAACCACCAAAATTATCTGCTTAGCCTTGGAAAAATACAGCTCAGAACTGGTATATGGCCGAACCGTCAGCCATTTGAAAATAGAGGATAGTCGTATCATGGGACGAATCATTGGGCGGGATGGCCGCAATATTAACCTTTTTCGCAAAATTACGGGAACCGAGGTTTTAATCCCTGAAAGTAATAACCTAAACAAAAAAAAAACTTCCGCCAAAGCCAAAAAAGATAGCCCAAAAGAAGAATGAATAATTGAAATCTCTTGTTTTAATTCTTTACGGAGAGAAATTGCTACCCGTACTTTACAACGTTTAATTAATGAACAAAAAATTAGCCCTTTACAAATTGAAAATATTTTTCAAGAAACCAGCCAAGAAATAGAGGAAATTATTTTACAAAGCGGAGTTGAGGTTTTGGCTGAACTACAAATCGGCTCCATTCATCCGGAATTAATAAAATGCTTAGGTAAATTAAAATTTCGTACCAGTTATGGGCAAAATGTTTTAGAGCATTCTTTGGAAGTAGCCAAACTAGCCGGGTCTATTGCGGCTGAATTAGGTTTAGATATTAATTTAGCCCGGCGGGCTGGTTTATTACATGATATCGGCAAAGCTATTGAAGACGATGGCCTTTCTCATGTAACGAGTGGTATAGCTTTGGCTAAACAATATAAAGAGTCCGCCGTAGTTATTAACGCCATTGCTTCCCATCATCGGAACTTCCCGGCGGATAATCCTTATTCTTTAATTGTTTCCGCCGCCGACACCCTTTCGGCCGCTCGTCCCGGAGCCCGGGGTCAACAGTTAGAAGCCTATATCGCCCGCATGGAAAATTTAGAAAAGTTAGCCCACGAACTTCCCGAAGTAGAAAAAATTTATGCTTTCCAAGCCGGGCGGGAAATTTGGGTGATAGTAAACGCTCAAAAAGTTAACGATTATCAACTTTTAGAAATTTCTGAAATACTACAAAATAAAATTCGCGAAAGAGTTATTATTCCGGGGGAAATAATCATTTCGGTTTTACGAGAAACTAAACTCATTAAAAAAATGAATACTTTTTCGCAAATTAGTAGCCCCAAAAAGAAGCAAAATAAATAAATATTGCAGGGAAAGCACAATTAACTATTAATCGTTAAGTTTAAAAAATCCTCTCTATGTTTTATCCGTTAGACTTTTTGGCGGCTAATTCTCTTTCTAAAAAGTATAATTTGGCCTGGCGAACTTTTTGGTTAATCATGCCCATTTTTTTAATATTTATAATTGAAGGAGAGTGATAAAAAAAAGTCTGCTTAATAACTAATTTACTGCCTTCTTTAAGCACCGCAAAATTATAATTAATTTGTTTTGGTCTTTTCTGGCTAATAATTATTCCTTCAAAATTAGATATTCGGTATTTTTCTTTATTACCCTTGTCAAAAACCTTGGTAGTTACTTTTATTTTTTCTCCTACTTGTAAAGAAAGAAAATCTTTTCGTAAATATGGCTTAGTAATTTCTTGCATTAAATCCATAATATTTATTTTTAAAACATGACAAGGCAAAACTAATAAAAAAATGGAAATGGCACTGCTTATTGCTTAGCGAAAAGTGTAGAAAATAAGCAAAATTAAGTTAAATAGATTTGCTAAAACTAAACCAGTTCCAACTTAATTAATTTAATTTCGTTTTTAATGGTGGAAATGAGGGCATTGAGCCCTGTCCTTAAATAACCCTTAACTACTTCTACAACCATAGTCAATTGTAGTTCTAATTAGTTATTAACTGACAATTTGGCTAATTAAGAGATTGCTTTATTATGACAATAAGAAACCAGCCTAAGAGAAACAAGCGAACTCGGACTAATTAATCCACTTAAATACGAAGTTAGGGAATGGAACCCTAACCAAGTCTCAAATATAATCTAGTTAATTTAACTAGACTTGAGCATAGTTTACCCAAGCGTTGTTTAAAGCACTTGGAGAAACCGAGTTTTCTCCATTCAAAAGGGCATGGAGAGAGCCATCTTTAGAAATATCGTTTTGATTTTTTTCTAGTTTTGGTCGCCGTAGAGAAGTATCCATTTAAGTCAAACCTTACATTCCCATAATTAATTTTTAAAGATTTGGGGCGAAAAAAATAATTTAATTTTCGTAAAATAATTTATCCATAAATTTCCGTTGATAATTAACAACTCCTTTGTTTTTTGGAAATCAAAGAGTAATTTCTTTTTGTGCACTGGGAAGGCTGTCCGAAGCATGGCAAATATTTCTGCCAATATCTACCCCTAGGTCTCCGCGAATAGTTCCAGGCCAAGAGAGTA